AAAAAAACAACAATAAATTAACATGTTACAAGGTTTGCCGCAATTGTGCCACACTATAAATTTGAGATGTTGGAGTAAACAAGTGATATGTTTAGAGTTTTCATGTTAACTAACATGACCTTTGATTTTATCACTGACCTTTGTGCTATGCTTTTTAGTCTTTATGATTCTGCTTCTTTAGTTTGCGGACCTCTGAGACCATCATAGTTCGGCTGATGCAGATATTAACTTAAACACACAGGTGAAATCTTTATTGCTAATTCGGTGTCTGTTTTTATTATCAGTTGGTTTCACTGGATTTTTTTAAGCTATCACAGTAGATGTTGCTGGATACATTTGTGCCTGTTTTATTTGTAATTTTTTTTTAAAAACTATTTATTTTTTTACTTTACAAAAATATACATTGTGTGGTGTTAGTCTTGCATAGAAAATCCTGCAGATGTCATTGAGGTTTGTGACTGAAATGCAAGAAAATCAACAGGTAGACTACTTTTGCAAAGTAATGGAGAGATGAAGGAAATGATGTACCTCAACTTTTAAAACTCTCAAAAGTGAGGTCATACTTTAAGCATAATGCACAGAAGCAGCTTACTAACACAATATTTAAGATACATTTTATTCATCTATTTATTTTATTAGATGTATTATTAAATATTTATTTAGCCAGATAAAAACCCATTGAAATCAAAATATCTTTCACAAGGATGACCTGTCAAGAAAGGCAACAGGACACGTCGTATAAAACAAGACAAAATAGACCCCAGCAACAACTTAAGGTTTAAAAACAGTAACAACTCAAAATAAAAAAAATAAAATAAAAAAAAGAAACGATACTGTTGAAAGGATTTGCGTTGTTGTTTTTTTAAAAATGGAATACAGAGCGTTCTGTGAAACAAGTTCTGTCAGTTTCAGCTCAGACTGCAGAAATACTCTTTCTCTCCCTTTTCTGTTCGCACACGAGGAACAGAGATGCAAACTGCCATTATACCTTAAGGCATAACATGATATCAAGTTTGCATACCTAACAATAAATAGGGGAAGTTGGTTTTAGGAATCATTAATACCCTAACTGTTAGAGCTACTTCTGTCTTTTTTTTTTCTTTCTTTCTTTCTTTTTTTTTTTTTTTAAAAAAAGCCCCTCCGCTTTGAACTCTCGTATCCAGAAGCGACACCTCGACACAGCGATCACAAGTGGGCGGGACTTCCGGTGAGCGGACCCGGAAGATTCAGATACAAGTTTCGCTGTTGCTCCCTGCATCCATATGCTCGCTACTTTAAACGTATTAATGTAATTTAGACGTTTTTTTTACTCTGTAGTATTAGCAACAATGTTATCTTTAGACTTCCTAGACGACGTCCGTCGCATGAATAAGCGGCAGGTAGGTATCGCAGCCAGTTTCCGCTCATGTAACGTCTGCCTCTTTGTACGATGACATACCTCAGAGCTAACCACAACTAGCCGCTTCATAATTTCGCTCCAGACTGAGTTTCCGTTATTAACCATCTGCAAAGTTAATTGTTTTCTGTATATGTGTGTTTTAAATTATTTATTTTTAATGTTGCATAAAGCAAATTTCCACATCGAGAGTAAATAACACTCCTAACTACACTATAACGGGCAATTTCCCCTGGTTGTGACACAATACTGTCGATATGGTAGCCAGATGAGGTTCCTAACAAATCTTGTATAAATTAAACTGCCGTTCCGGTTACTGCTTTAGTCATTTGATTGCAGATATTTGTAGATATTGTATATAAAGACTATCTGTTTCACCCTTGTGACTGTTCTCCCCATTGAATGAGATATTTTTGCTTCCAGCTGTATTACCAGGTGCTGAACTTTGGTATGATTGTGTCTTCTGCTCTGATGATCTGGAAAGGACTGATGGTTGTCACAGGCAGCGAAAGCCCTATTGTTGTTGTTCTCAGGTAAATTTAGCATCATTATTTAACAATGTTCAAAGTTAGGCTGCATCACATTTTCACTCCCTGCTTTTCAAATTGAACTCCTAACCATCTGTTTCTAAGGGTGGGGCATCCTTATTGCAAAAATTAGATCAGGTGTGTTATCAGCTATTATACACCAATTATAAGACAAGTGATGTTGTTCCTGCCTGCACCATCCCCTCAAAAGCAGAAACCCTCAAAATATAATTTATTTTCTATTTTGTCATTGTTGTTGAGGATTATTGCTGAAGTTTGAGTCTTACAAAATTATGCTTGATTTACCAGAAGTTTTTTAATTTAAAAAAATGGTAAGAAAAGGTGTTCAACTTCATATATGTCAAAAAATAACTAAACAAATCCATTGAACGTGTTTTTAATTAGCCCACAACGATGTGGTTTCCAGCAAGAATTGAAGCTCTTACCTAAACAAACTGCATTTTAGCTGTTCACATTGAAAGCTGCAGAATATATTCTTTTATCATTTTTAAATTTAAATGTTACACTCTGAAATTACAAACTTTCCCTTTTTGTCTAATGAAAGGACTGTCAAAACCTAATTAAAATGTATTTTAACCACTAAAAACATTTAAACTGACGAGGATTAGTGTTGTGCAAAAATAATAATAAAACAAGAATTCTCACTTTAATGTCAGAGTTCTGAGATCTAACTTATTTTCTCAGAATTTTGACTTTAAGTGGCCACATAAAAAAAAATACAAAGCACTTTATTGCTATGTGAAACTAAGAAATGCTATCTTTGTTATGCAGGAGAACCAGACACTTAGTTCTCCTGCACAACCTTTGCAGATTACAACAAAATTGAACAATGATAACAAAATTACACAATGAAAATCCATCCAACTGTCCAAGTATATCATTGGAAAGCAGAGTTTAAGTATATGCTACCTGAAATACTATAAACATCCAGATAGTTCATACTTATTCTGATATTAAACACATTAGAATTGGGATTTGAAATGTGATATTTGGTGTTACTGTTGATTATTTTTGCAACATGAGCATAACAAAGATAGCATTTCTTAGTTTCACATATTTTACTATCACAGCAAAAATTATAATGTATAGTTTGATGCATGGCAATGCATTTTATTGTTTTCCATCTTTGTCAGCAATCAGTCAGCATGATATGTCTAATCAGAATAAAGTGTCGCATAACCTTAAAGAACCACTGTAATGTCTGGTGTGATGCATTGTGATAGACTAATCTGGCATTTAATAAATGTGATGGGAATACAGACTGATCATCGATATAAGTATAGGAAAACAACACCTAAAATTTGCTATTTTGGAAGTGTACCAATTTGTACTTTTGCTAGCAAATTGGAAATGCATAAGTGAAGACCCATATATTTTAAGATGTATTGAAACACATTTAGTTTTGACTACATTTGACATTTAAATTTTTCCTGAAGATACATAAAAATGATCTGGGCTAATAAATGTTTACATTTCACATACAGGCATACTAAATCATGCATGTTGGCGTAGCTGGAGAGATATCACGTCTTTGTGGAATATTCTAATCATAACGTAGGGCAATAACATTTAGAAATTAGTTTCAGTCTCATGTGTGAAAACGGAGCCAACATCCTCTCAGTTATAACCTGCAGTACTTAAAATTACACCAATACCTTAAACAGTTTTCTTAGGCAGTTGGTGCAGTTGCTGCTTTATTTTTTCCTCTAATATGACTGTAGAGTATTATGTGGATGGATGTGTTGTATCTCTGTTGTATGTGTACATAGCGAACATTGGAGAGACATTGCTTAATGAAAGTATCATTTACATGTGTAGTTTTATGCATAAAATGTCATTTAAAATAAAATGACATGGATCAGCATGCAACCCACACTAAAAGATCAATTCATTGATTTAAAAAAAAAAGCTAGAATTTCTTTACTTATGAATCAATACTGTACACTATAATGAAAATATTTTATTCTGACTAGTATAGACATTTACTTTGTGGTAAACGTAATCATTCTAATCACTTTTTTTTTATCTTGTTTAATTTCAGTGGGAGTATGGAGCCGGCTTTTCACAGAGGCGACCTGTTATTTTTGACAAATCGAGTGGAGGACCCCATCAGAGTTGGAGAGATTGTTGTCTTCAGAATAGAAGGCAGAGAGATCCCAATAGTACACAGAGTGCTAAAGATCCATGAAAAGTATGAATTCATGTTTTGGTGTAATAACTTTTGAGATTCTTTTTATCAGAATTTTCAATTTATAGCCATCAGAATGACTCTCATTTCACACCAGCCATGAATTGAGGTGGAGAAAAACACATTTTGAATTCTCTTTCTGAACATTAAGCTGGTGTTTTGTTCACAGACAAAATGGAGACATAAAGTTCTTGACCAAAGGAGACAACAATGCAGTGGATGATAGAGGGCTGTACAAGCAGGGCCAACATTGGCTGGAGAAAAAAGATGTGGTGGGACGAGCCAGGGGGTGAGTGGTCGTTTTAGAAAAAATAACTTGTGATTTAAAGTAGGTTTGTTCTTTAAAAATCACAAATTCTATCAGCTATTGATTTATGACAGAACAGTTCATAGTTCTGATAATGACTAAATATTTTAGACTTACCTGCTTTCTTGTTTTACTTTGATTGCTTGTTCAAAAAAAAAGGAACCATTACAACAAAAAAAGTAGTTTGTTAATTAATAAATGTATCTTGTCATAATCATCACCGTATCCTTTAAAAGAGAACACACATTAGGAGCACAATGGTGCGTTGTTAAAGGATGTGTTTAACAAACAATAGATGCTTCATGCCCAAATGAACAGAGACAGAACAGATTGTTAGACTTGAGCCATTGGTCATTTTATTAGTGTGTACATTTGGGTGGATGTGTAAGCAGAGCTGCATAATGGCTTCCAGGACAAAGTTAAAATTCTCCAGCCAATTATTGGCTGGGGAGTTAAAATTAAGCTGACTGAGCAGTCAACCACCTGGACACACAGATTGGTAATATTGTGTCATGTGTAGTAGGTGCTGAGCAAAAAAAACAAAAAGGTGACTTTGTTTTCAGGCTTTCTTTTAAATCTATTGGTATACTTTAAACAGAATTGGGTCTCTCAGTTCAGAGGTGGTGTGCTCCTAAACTGTCCTCTGCAGCAGAGTTTAGAAGCCTGCAAAGCAGTGTGCTGAAAAAGATTGTCCTTCATTCTTTATCATAAGACTGAATAAAGCAATTGTAAACAAATATACAGGATAACGTGGGATTTAACAAGTAAGGTTAGCAGTGCAACACAGTATTTTGCAATGTTCTACACTATAAAATAGATGGGTTAAGCTGGGGTCACACTACATTACTTTTTTTTTTTTTTTTACCTGAATTTGATCCCCAATTAGTTTGAACTTCTTGAGGTGGATCTGGATGTTATTTGTTACTGTACAACATCATGGATATAAATGCAAAACAGCACTAGGCATAATACAAACCAGATGGTATCCCATTTCTTAACCAGCCTTTGTCTCAAGTCAGCCAATGTGATTGTGTTGGTCTTACTAGTGCAAACAGATTGCATACAATGATCCTATAAGTGATCAATGAGACCGAGGCCAGAACTACAGGCAAGCCGTTCTATCCTCCTCACCCTGAATGGTGGAACTAGTTTCTGATAAACACGCTTTGTGGGGCGAACACTGACATTTTGGAGGATGGGGTTTGGGATTGCCACTCCTTCTAGAATCTCATCTCGATATTTCTTTCCATTGAGACTGTCTGCAACCTTTTTTTTTTCTTCCAGTGAGGGACATACTGCCCTACTTCATCACGCTGCCTCCGAGAATAACTGTTTGCGATTAACAGATAGGATTTGGTAAATGGTTTTTGTGGGCACAATACACACACTGACCCGTGCTGTTCAACCCACAAATACATTTTCCTTACATATGTTGCACAAGTCACGGGGAAGTAAACAAGCTTTCCAATGGTGTGAGGTTTATAACCAAGAAGCATCGCTGCAACAAGACAGTATTTCACCAAACAAAAATGTTCTTACATTTTGTTCCAAGTATATATTTTCACATGGAAACCCAGATGGCAGAGCATTATCCCAATTGGCCCTGATATCGTGATCATTATTGCTTTCTTTAGTTTTAACAAGTTATGTCCAAGCCATCTTGTTAAGATTATAACATGAGGAAAAGTTGTTTTATGCTAGAATGGAAATCTAATAGGATAAATGTAGAATTTGAAGTTTTATGTCATCCCATTTGACATAATGCTTAGTGCAGTAAATAAACTAAGATGTTTGCACGCTGGGGTGACTGTGGATCAGTCAGTTGAGTGGTGAGCTTGTAGTTTTAATTTCAGCTTCTTCTACATGTGGAAGACCCTGGGCAAGGCACTTAACCCAACGTTTCCTTCTGATTGGTTTATGAATATGTTTTCCATTCAGTGAATGTTGATCTAGAGTAAAAGCCTGTTGAGTGATTGGCATGAATAGAAGAGTGTGATACAAATTCAGTCCATGTTTAAGACATTAGTACGATTGCCTAACAGCGTTTTTATCATTTCCAGGTTTGTGCCATATATTGGAATTGTCACCATCCTCATGAACGATTACCCCAAGTTCAAAGTAAGTTCACTGTTCCTTTAAATAAGTTACAGCTAATTGCTTTCTTTAGTTTTAATCGTAATTATACAACACATTGTGTCTGAGAATTTGCTGTGTTTGTTTCCTGCAGTATGCTGTTCTCTTCATGTTGGGTCTTTTTGTCTTGGTCCACCGGGAGTGAGGCGCTGAAGCTTCAGCACTGATGATGGATAAACTACGTCCAGAAAACCTCAGTCATGCCTTTCAAAATACATTTGCTTTTCGTTGTCAAACCCAGCTTGATATATTTTTTTTTGTACCATTTGTTCAAGCATTTTGTAGAAATGTGAATAGAGTGTTTACATTTTCAAAAGTCCAAGCTTTAAAAGTATTTTTGTGAGGGAATTCACTAGGATTAACTTTCAAGTCGATTTAGTATGTGGTCTTCAGATTGTTAAATTGCATTCTTTAAGTTAAATTTAAATTAGCTTTTGTTAATTTCCTCATTTGTTGCTTCTGGAAATATGGAAGTGTTAAAATATATTAAATTGAATATAAAATCTGTTTAGCATTCACTTTGGATTACACAACCTGTCTTATTTCATTTGGCCCTTCACAAATGGATCATTTTCTATTAATGTAAAGAGTTCATTCTTGTGGGGAGACAAAAAAAGAATTCACTTCAGTTTGTAGAATTGTAAGAAAATATGTTTAGCCAACCTTTTTACAACCCTATATTGGAAATGAAATTTGTGTCTGTCGTTGTTGAGAGACTTGAATAAAAACAAACATTTTAAAGCTTTTTGGCAAATTTATAATTGATTATATATGGTTATAGTTCCCACTCATAAATATTAAAATTTTATGTAATATTCACATTTAAAACATCTAATTTAGTTAAATATGACTAAATTGTATAAAAGGTAACTGTCAGATTCTGGCAGATTCTCCATGTGCATGCGTGGGTTTTCCCCGGGTTCTCCGGTTTCCTCCCACAGTCCAAAAACATGTCAGGTTAATTGGCCTCTCCAAATTGCCCCTAGGTGTGTGTGTGTGCATGGTTGTTTGTCTCTGTGTTGCCCTGCGACAGACTGGCGACCTGTCCAGGGTGTACCCCGCCTCTCGCCCGGAACGTTAGCTGGAGATAGGCACCAGCAACCCTCCCGACCCCACTAAGGGACCAGGGTGTACAGAAGATGGATGGATGGATGGATATTGTTTGTTTTTTTTTACGTTGCCATCAACACCATCCTACCCACAATCCTTAGAGACAAGCTGAAGTACACAGAAGTGGCCTGTGTATGGAACATGTTTAAAAAGCAAGCATCAAAGCATTACACAAAAGAAATGGATGTTGAAATACAGATAGCACAGATATAAAAGATTTACATACTTTGAACTGTTCATTTGTCAGATTCTTTGATTAAACGTTGCTGTAAAACAACTTTTTTCAGTCTTAATGTAAATGAAGAAAGAGTTTCTGCACATCAGAGGTTTTTGGATAGTTTTTGTTCCAGAATTGAGGAGTAAAAAGAAGTACACGTTGTCTGAACTTGTATAGTTTCGGTCCTGGAAAACCTGACAGATCTCAATGGTTTGTACTTACCAGACACATCTTTGGGCCCAAGATCATGAAGTGCTTTATAGACCAATATGAGAATTTCAAAATCACTTTTGTCAAGCACCATCCCTACCATAAGACTCAGTGGTGCCATGACCTGGCTGTGAGGGTGCATTTCTTCAGTAGGGACAGGGAAGCTCACCAGGGATAATGATAAAATTGAGGGTTTTAAATAAAGGGGAATCCTGGAATAATACCTATTAGAGGTTGCAAAACACTTTAAACTTTAAAATTAGGACAATCTTTACAAGTTCACTTTAACATTATTTCCTTCCTTGTGTTGATCTACCACATATAATTGAAATTATTGGTTGCAACAATAAAAAAATAATTTAAAAAAAGACATTTAGGGGGAGTTTTGCAGTGCTCTGTTTCTAATCATGTTTCGAAATCAGCCTTACATACTTCGAAACAAAAAGTAGATTTTCCAAATTCAGTGTTAATTCAGACTCTGTTGGTGCCTTATTTGTAAACCAAAGCTGTTTTTAGTAGCTATAAACCAATTGTTTTGTATGAGGGGGGGGAAGGGGGAGGAGGAAATGAAGAATTATTTTTGGCACCAATGGAGCCCAATAGCTTTGAACCTGGCCAGCCACTACCTTAAGGCAAGTGTTGCGCCTTGGTTCATTTAACTTCTGAGCTTGGGCAGTGTGATGCTGTGATGTTCAGACAGTCTTCTAATTAGACTGACATTCAGCTCTGCAGAATTTACCAAATCTCAATATGCGTGTTAATGTCAAAGGTTATTAAAAGAGCAAGACAGAAGCTGCTGCTCCTCCACAAGACTTTAGCACCCTGAAGTGACGAAGAGGCCATCTGTCCTATCAGCTCTAAATTAGCGGTGAGAATCAGCGGGTTCTCCTGTCCTCGGAGGACTGATGACGAGCGCAGTAGCAAGCCTCGACTGGCCAAATGTCACGCGGCTTATTGCAAAAAGGGCCAAACTGGGCCCCTGGATGATGGGATCTGGCCAGTCGGTTTTGTTCCTCCGTGACGCACCCAAAGCCGCAAAACGGAACATTTATGGGACTGGTCCTGGAAATGGAGTTAAATGTTAAGTTTTCTGAGAAACCGAATGGAGTTTCATTTGCTGTGCCATAATGATGAAAATGAAGATTTGAATATAATATCTGATCCTGGGTAATGAATATACGTTTTACTTTTGAACTCAACAACTGAGATGAATACATTTATTCAAATACACCTGGAAGTGAGAAAGTTAAGTCTAAAACATTTTTGATGCTTTGCTTTTTGTTTTATAAAATGCTTCACGTTGCCACTTCGTTTGATGCTTAAATTACGCACAAGCATCACAATGAATTGGCTGATGTCATCTTCATTTACGCAGCCTAGTGAATGAAAAGTAAACGCAGCCCATCAGGAGAGCCCACCCCGTCCAGGAGACCCTATAAAAGCAGGACGAGTCTGCAGCGATCCAACACTAACAAAGAGCCACTTGGAAAAAAAAAATTGCGCTCAGGAGGACAGATCCGGAGTTCGGGTTAAAATGAGAGGACTCACGCTGACTAATGTTTGCCACTGTGGTTTCTTCACATATCTCGTTTTTATGTCTTTGAGCGCAGGAGACAGTATCTCTCTGACTGATGGGAGGGGTAAAGTTCCGAAATTCAAAGTGACTCCAAAAGGCAATCTTTGGGCAACAGGTAAGAAACTATTTCTTTTGAATGTTGACCTTCCGGTAAAGTCCTATGACATCAGGGTTTTAAACCTTTACGCATAAATAAAATCATGTTCTCTATAGGTTTTTCCTTTCCATTTTTCTCTCAAAATGAAATTAAGCAGATTAATTTAGTTTGTTGTTGTTGTTGTTGTTGTTGTTTTGGTTTTGCAGGGCATTTCATGGGAAAGAAAAGTGTGATGGACACCCCTTTGCTACGCTCACCCGAGGACCAGGGTGGGAACGCGGTGGACGTCAGCTTCCCGGCTGAGCAGACCTCGCTTTTCCAAGAGTTTCTGCGGGTGGCGTTGAAGGCGCAGATGGACACAGAAGAGAGCCGTTTGAAAGATCAGGTGAGCACAGAGGACTCTGTCTTCGCTACCTTATTTTTTTTTTTTAATGCACATATTTTTCAGTTTTCTTCATCTTAAATCTAACGTGATGTTTTTCAGGAAGCGGAGCTGCTGGCGAAAATCTTAGTAAACTGATGCGGAGGTCGGAAGAGTGGCGCGTATGGACCGAAGACCTCAAGGGATTAAAATATATAAATATAAATAACAACCAGAAACAACCTATAATTTTTCTGCTGATTCTGATTAAAATCATCTGCAACATTCCAACAATGTCCCATTTGCAACAGGTTTTTTTTTTTTTCTTCTTCTGTTAATTAATGTTGAATTTATTTCGGCTATTTGTATTAAATAATAAAACATAAAATGAAAATGATGTGTAGCAGGTATTTTATGAAAGACTGAGGTGTTTCCATTTTGACCCTCCAGACAAAACATGTTTTTTTGTTTTGTTTTGTTTGTTTGTTTTGTTTTGATTTTGTTTTTTCCCCACATCACTCTTTTATTCTTCCTCTGGGCAATGCAAAAAAAGAATATCCTAAAATCCCCTTTGGCTAAGAGTTTGACTCATGCTCTACTTTTAGCGAAGAGGTAAGCAATTTAACAACAGGGTCTGAAATTAACAAAATTAATTAAGTAATTACAGCATGTTTCAGAACATTTCAGAATCTGATGTTAGATTTTCCTCCACATGGGGTTTAATGTGACCTTTAATCGTATTTATAGACCCATTACAAACATCTATTTGTTTCATTATTTTATGATTCTTCATTCTTATATAAATACTTATGTAGGCAGCTTACATAAATCACGTTGCTTATAGCTCCCTAAGCATTTCAACGAGAAATCAATAGCTTTTTTCTTTCCTCTGCATACAAGGATGATCTTTTCTCTCAATCAATAGAAGCAAAGGGAGATGGTTCATGCAACTTCTTTGCCTTGGGCGACCGACTGTTGGATTAAAAACAGCTGGGCTATTTCAGTGTCCTTCCCACAATGCCCTGTCTGTCTTTCTTTTTATATATTCAAAGTGTAGAATTTTTGCTTCATCAGAAACTTTCAGAGGTCTGAGTTCAGGAAACACTCAGCTGTCTTTGGGTGACACTGCAAAGCCAATCAGGAAACTCTGTTGTGCTCTAAACAGTCTCAAACCGCTTTGTTGAGCATCTGCAAAACCGTAGTTTCTGACAAATGTCTGTTAAACTGTCAGAGCCACTTCTAAAAGATGTATTCATGGTGCTGATGAGATTTATGACATTGCATTTAAAAAATAGGACAGTGTTCATCTAAATTAAATTTTCTAATGCCGTACTTTATGACTAAAGTATAAACCTTCAAATTTGCAACGCACACAGCCGATTAATGCAGTTTCTTACAACCAAAGTCTTGGTGAGTACCTCTAAGTTACACAAATATTGCTTCCCAAATCATCAGCTTTGAGAATCCATCTACAGGTGCAAAACTAGGAGGAAGTAGGTTAGTAGGCTGTAGGAAATGGCATTCGATTTATTTAATGAGAGGACACACAATAGGTAAGAAAAATGATTTAGCAAAAGTGTCTTTTTTGTATGTATGGTGTTCAAGATTTTCTGTTAGCAAACCAGAATTTTTCTTCCTGTCAGTAGCAAAATTTCACCCTCTATATAAAATTCAAGGTAATATTTTCTCATTAATCTAAAATGGCAGGCAGTTAGGCTTGTTGCAAAATGCAATTAAATGTGTTGATAGAATAATTATGCTTTGGCTATCAGTGTGATAGAAATGTGTGGAGGGAGGTGGGGTGGGTGTTATAAATGTGTAATTATGTGTCTCATGACTGAAAGTTGCAGATCCAAACATTGCAAATTGTTATTTGTTGAGCTGCTGTTTTCACACGATCTGAACTCGTCCTTCCTCGCTCCTTTGGGACTGAGAGAGAAACGGTCTGATTCATGACGATTGACTACGCATGATCATTTCACATCTATAGCACTGTGAAATATGTATATTAATCCTTACTTCTGCCATCTTTTCTTCATAAATAAATACCAAAAAAAAATCATTCTTGCCAAGTGACAATCATCTTTGAACGGATGATCTGTCCATCCAAACATTCTGCTACCTAAGTGGGGAGGAGCTTATGTGAAATATATGAAGTAAATATAAATCAGATGAAAGGAAGAGTTTTTTTCTTTGACACAGTTAAGGTGAGGACAGGGCACAGGTTTTTATCAGAATTCAGTTTTGGCAGCTGTTGATCAGAGAGACTAGACAAATAAGGAGAACCAGTGGCCACCTGCCTTTCAGGAAGGTTGTCAGTTTGATGTCACCTTTTTTCCTCCACATGTCAGACGGTGCTTTGTTATCACAGTTAAACCCAGATTTTCCCCATCCTGTGCATGAATAGTGATTAGAAAAGCACTCCATGAATGGCGTTTCCATTTAACCAGTTTGCTTACGACTGAAACAGAAAGTCAATATTTTAAAAGTCCTATGTATAAAACAGACATGCAACAAACTGACCTGATAAAAGGAGACATCTTCTCATGTGGTGCATTTGCAACTGTAAGTCTTGTTTTTTTTTTTTTTTGTTTTGTTTTTTTCCGTCTGCTAAGCACATTTAGAGGCTGTCGTTTTTTGTTATAGTCCCATTTTCTTTGCAAAATAACACTAGCTCAGTTGGATTGGATGGAGATTATCTGTAAACAGTAAACTTTAATATGCAAGCTTGGCTATCCAAGAAGAAAAGAAATCAAGAAAATATGTTAATGTTTTTGGTTGCTGCTTTAATGTAAAGAGAGGAAAGTTCATATGTGTTGTCGTCACTCAGCATGCCATTTCAAACACAGTCAAATGGATCTTAAAAGGATAATTTCATGTCATGCAGAATCTCCAATCCCCGTGTACACTGAGAGGCATGTTGCTGCTTACTAGTGTGATAAATGACCTCCTCTCCTTCACATTTTAATAAGTAATAAAGTGTAAATCGTATTAGTGCGAGTTTCCTCAACAGTTTTGTTTTTGTCTAATCAAACAGATTTTTATTTCACCTGCTTGTGAGAACATGTGTGATAGCCTTTGCTTTTAAATAGTAAGCTGGTTTCTTATAGGCCTGCCTTTAAGTTGTTGTGATTGAGTGAACTAAACATCAATGTTCATATATTAACACACAAAACTATGAATTCTACCTTCCGTGGGTGCTTCGGTGAGACTGACTTTTAAATTTAATTTCAAAGAAGTTGTACTTGTTTGTTTTTGTTTGTGGGATCCCATTTTATTTCCTTTTTATCTAAGCTTGTCTGCTTTTTGCCATTGTTGTTTTAATAATGAATCTCATAGCAGCCTACAGGTACATGTCATGCAACGAGACTGTCGGCTCTGTCAGCAGAAAGGCTCGGCTCCTGGTGTTTGTTAGTTTCACTCTTGTTCAGTTTGAACACCAACAGCTGACAGAGACAACTGCGGCAATAAAACAGAAGCTTTGGGCAGCGGCTAAAGTCATTATTGACTTGTGCCACAACTCTTTTACTAATGTGTTAGTCTCAGAAGGGGTGCACGACATGGATGTGCCATGAATGTATTCACATCTAAAAGATTTATGCTATTTAAATGAGAATCCCTGACAGGCTTGTTTTCCCAACATTCCAAATCTTCATCATTCAGTTTCAACCCTACAGTAAAACTAGTGATGATATACTGCCCCCCTCTGGCATAAAAAAAAAACTAAACTGCATTGGTGCTGACTTTCTTTGTTGATTTGTGTGGTATAAATATGATGTGACACAGATATTTATTTCGTCTTGCTGTATATTCTGTTGAAAATAGGAAGACCAGAAAAGCAGCCCAACCAGTTAGTTAGATGTGTATTGATGGTTAGATCATATCCACATATCCAAAGTCATCTCTCTTCCATGGCCATCTCAGTCTGCAGATATATTCCATAGAAAACCCATGGATGATCTGAACAGTGAAATCATAAGACATGATCTTCTAGGAGATCATGCAAAGATGATCGGATGAGTGAAAGAGTAGGACATGGCTAAAATAATATGTTACAAACTAAGACACTATTCAGGTCTGATTTGGATGAAAACTGGTACTTTAAATTAGGTATTTTACTTTCTGAAAAATACACTGAAAGGCAAAGGTCGCACTTTAAGTGTTCAGTGTAAGGCTAAGCAACTGGTGCCAATTCATGTCTATGGTGCTATGTGGTAGCTCTCCCCAAACAGGGAAATATATAGTAAAAATAGAAATAAATCTATTTATCAAGGTGCAATAGAGATCTATCCAGGATGTTGCTTTGATATTTTGATCATCCCAGATATTTATAGAGCAATTTTAATATGCCTGAAACTGAAGCAAGATTTTGCGACTTTGAAACAAATAGAACCATTTCTTGCATGTGTTATTATCACAGAAACTTTTAGATTTCTTGTTAAATGTTCTCAGACACACTAAAATTCTTGAATAAATACAGCATAAAAATGTGTCAGGTACAGCTGTTTCTGAATTGATATGGTTAACAGTAATGAGGTTGCACATGATTTTCTGTAAAAATATAGTACAGTGATCTGCCCCACTGAACAAAAAATATGTGGTCTAATGTAAGGTTTTATTATTTGGGTGTAAAACTTTAAAAAAATAAAAGACTAATTTCAAGGCTTTCTACACATTTTCCAGTATATGGTTGTTACCTAGAGTGTACAACCATATATACCTTATATATGGTTGTATATACCATATATTTTATTAAATATTAAATGGAATATTTAATAAAATATACCATTTTATTAAGTGAAATGGAATATTTTTTCCATCGGGATTTTGAGAAGAAACTTTTAAAACACTGTTTCTAAAATGTTTGAAAGTATGTGTTACAAATTTACAAATAACTTTTGCAATTATTCCCGACTGCTTGAATACAGCAGACTGAACAGGCAGCGTCTTTAGCAATGGCCTGCTCTGAATTTGATTTCTTGTGGAGGATGTTCATGCTGAACAGCGAGTATTCTAGTCATAAAATGACCATAGCATATCATTTCTACAATAAAAAAAACATGTTTTATTGATTTATGTAATATTCTAATCTTCTGCGAAAGTGAACATTAGGTTTAAATGAGCCGAGTTCACTAAAAATAATAACTAAAACATGTTTATTGGGATAAACCTGCCCACATTTCAGTGCAGAAAGCCTTCAGGCTGTTTGTTTTGAATGATGATGTCAGCATGAGCACGTGACCTCCAGCCTCTGTTTGCAGCGATTTCATTGGTCGAGCCCGGAGGAATCTGAACGGTGAGGCAGACCGAAGCCATTTTATTATTTTAACTGCAAAGGTGCAGGTGCACCGAAAATTGTCACCCAAACTAACAATAATTACATAGTTCCTGTTTGAAGCGCTCGCGTTACAATGGGACAGTGCGGGATTACGTCGTCCAAAACCGTCCTGGTTTTCCTCAATCTCATATTTTGGGTAAGAAAACGACAGATGGTGGAACAATGTGCAGCATCCCGATGATGAGGCCGGGGATTGGGAGCGTTAGCAGGGCTGCAGACTGCGCCAGAGATGGGCTGCGCTGCGAGGAAGCGCTATTTTATAAGGCGGGGCCCAATTGACGTGTTGCGAGTTTTAGCGTCACCGTGGGGTCGGTCGGGGTTGACTGGAGGCTCGGTCATGCTTTGGGCATCTTTGTGTTGTGTTGATGCAGCTCTAGTCTTAGCAGCAGTGATGTAATGCATGCAGCAGTCACCGGCAGGTAGCGACAGCTGACTTCACCTCTAGCATTATGTGATCCACAGAGCATAAAGGAAAATTAAGTGAAATAAGAGAGAAATAATCCCTTTTGTGTTACCTATTTCTCTGAGTAAAATGTTGCAGAGTTGCTCAGTTATTGTTCTTTTAGCATATCAACTATTTATCCATCCTCTATATTAGAGCAAATCTGTTGTCAGATTTATTATAAAATACACGATTGCCCTAGTTTTTTGGCCTGCCTCTGACCCCTGTCCCTTTGTCTCTCTCTGCAGGCTGCTGCTGGAATCCTGTGCTACATTGGAGCTTATGTGTTCATCACCTATGACGACTATGACCACTTCTTTGAGGATGTGTACACTCTGATTCCAGCCGTGGTGATCATAGCTGTAGGGACTCTGCTGTTCATCATCGGTGTGATTGGCTGCTGTGCAACAATACGTGAGAGCTCCTGTGGCTTGGCAACAGTGAGTTTCGACAGCTTTGACTTAAAAAAAAGAAATGGCAGAAGAGATGTAAATGTTTTCATGTGTATTTTGCGATGCTGATGAATAATACTGATGGACTGAAACGGTAGCCTGCATCTTTTGAGTTTTAATCCTCAAAAAATCCAAATATATTCCTGAAGATGACAGCTTTATAAGATTTGTTTCCTCATTCAAGGATCTAAAGTCTGAACTCAACTTGACCTCAATCTCTAATCACTTCCTCACACTCTTTTCTGCACTCCTTCCCCGACTGCTGATTCCTCACAAATAGGAATTGGGTTTTTGCAACCCAATTCCTATTGTTTCTTGTTGTGGGCAAAGACACATTTACACTAACTCTAAGGCACATTACAGACATTGGGCCACCACTTCCTTCTTTTGTTGGCCTTTATAAGCCTTTCATAAGCCTTTATTTGTCTCTAAGTTCCAAATTATTGTTGCATTGTGGTAAGTAAGCATTGCATCGGTTGGAGAGCGGTGCAAAAGCGAAACTGCACACACGTCCTCTCCAATTATCCAGCTACTCCAGCATGAGAAGGTTCTGGAGTAACTAGTTTAGAATATATGATTTGTACTGCTGGTCAGCTGGCTGAAACAACACTGCGAGTTTCTTTTACTTACAGGAACAATAACTTTTCCTGTTTCTGAATATTTCTTCTCACGGAAAATAAACAGGTTCGGAAATTCCATCATATGTCTGCAGGCTCCACTCTAACAGATTGAATAATGCCAGCTTGTTGTCTTATTTTGCGATACTAAATGCAGAATAATGCATTGGTATAATATTCCACTCAATAAGCACTATTAGACTTCAACTCAATTTTAGTGGGAGTTTAGTTGTTGCTTAGTCTACATATCAAACTGCAGATATTTGTAACTTCAGTGACAGATTTAATCATGCATCCATGTTGGTGATATTAAAAAAAAACAACACATGTTTAATGTAAGTTGTCAGTCAACTAAACTTATCCATACTAGAGTTAAATAAATTGACTGAATGATTATGTGTTTAATCATTTAAGCCTTTAATGACTAAGAGCAGTTAAGAAGGGAGTTGGGTTTTTTTTTTTTGCTGAATTTCAGCTTGTAGTTTTCACTTAAAGAGTGAGAAAAATGACTGGCTGGTAGGATTTAGAGGCGGGGCTGTTGCTGGGTTATCTTCTGTTCCCTGGCATCATTAAGTACCGCCTGAAGGTGGCGCAGTGGTTGGAGGAGCTCAGGGTCACTTTGCTCAAGCTTAAATGCAGAAATGAGTAAGGTGCATAATGTAAAAAGCCTTTGATCGCTGAGAGACGGCCAGCACCTCTGATTACTGCTGCTGTTGTTTAGTCAACACAATGTGATCTTAGTAATCAGTGAAACACATTAAAAGAGCAAATGGAAATGCTTATTGACTAATTTGCTTATTTGTCTAGCGGCTTGCAAAACTGTAAATACCCTTCAGCTTTTTCACATTTTGCCACATTTGTCACCACAAAGTTCAGTCTAGTTTATTGGAAACCAACAGACCACTGAGTTAAAGCGGAAGACAAAATGACATATAGTTTTCAGGGTTTTCTATGTCATTTTATATATATGAATATATAAAAACAAAAAACTATCTTTAAAAAAAAGGATGATTAACATCTTTTCAGCCCCAAAATATGATACTTTGTAATACCTTTGGCAGGTATTATATCTTTTGGAGAATGTCTAAAGTAGCTTAAAACATCTTTAACCCATGAACTTTGCTGCACTTGCTGTTCATCTTAGAAAAACCTAACAAATTTGATGTGCAGACATCAACAAAATACATAAATTAGGTGTCTGTACATACTCCAGTTTTGTGGTGAGAAATAATTTGAAGTTATCTTGAGATTTCCTTCTCCTTTTGTTCAGATTCAGTTGACTAATACTATTGTTTGCTTCTCGCCGTTTCAGTTCGCGGCGATCCTTCTGCTGGTGTTTGTGACGGAGTGTGTGGTGGTTGTTCTCGGCTACATTTACAGGGCGAAGGTAAGCACGGGCTCGTTCTCCTGCAGACGGGTTTCTGTAGGTGAAAGATTGAATCTCTCACTGCTACACTGTGGATACAGTTGAACGATATCTTGCTGATCATTTGTGGCTGTCTGACCTCGGCAGGTAGAAGATGAGGTGAATCACTCCATCCAGAAGGTTTACAACGAGTACAGCGGCCCCAACACGGATGCTCCCAGTCGGGCTATTGACTATGTACAGAGGCAGGTGAGGAAATGTGCAAAATTTGGAGGACTTTTTTATTAGTTTATGAGCATTTTATAGACATTGGGGGAGTAAAAATCAAACATTAATGATTTTTTTTTCTCTTTTTCTTGATTATTTCTCCATAGCTTCACTGCTGTGGTATCCACAACTACTCTGACTGGAGAAACACACGCTGGTTTAAGGAGTCTAAGAACAACAGCGTCCCAGTGAGCTGTTGCCAGCCCAACATCAACAACTGCACCGGCACTCTGACCCGACCAGCGGATCTCTACCAAGAGGTACAAACAAGAACTAATTACGTTTTCCGTTCAGGATGCTGCTAGGGAAATACTGCTGCATGTAAAACCTCGTGCCTCGTGTCATTTATGTTCTCTCCTAGGGCTGCGAAGCACTTGTGGTAAAGAAACTGAAGGAGATCATGATGTATGTCATATGGGCAGCATTAACTTTTGCATCAATACAGGTAAGATGCACAATGCTGAAAAGGCAGAAATGTCTAAGAATGACTCCAAAATGTCTGTTTAAATGTTAGTCTTTGTGATGTACAAAAAAACAAAGCCGCGATAAATCTTTTCAAAATGTTTTCCAGGTACAGTTCATCTACAAAACACACAAATGTGTTATAATACAAAATTTAGCTCAGAGCTCTGGCATGGCCTTTCATCAACTGCTGAAATTGGTCCAGTTCATCCTTGTCTCTGAAGTTACCCTAAACCAAAGGACGATGTTTCAGTGGGGCTGTACAGAGGTTAGGCACCACAACCGCTGAATACTGGAGACTCCCTCTTAAAAAACTCTTCTGACTGCCCATTTTAGTAGTTTAAATACCAAATATGCATTGGTATGCATTAATGTGCACAATGTAAACCATCAAGAACTCTTATTTGTCTCTGCTCTTGGGGATGCAGCCAATCCGCTCAAAGGAAAATGAATGGTGCTCTTGGATTAGCTGCTTTGCAAACGCCTGCCAATAGCATGTGAAGTAACATGGCTCCTGAGTATTTCAGCATCCCAAGCTGGGATTAACAGCATTTTATATTTTTTAGATATGCTCTATGAAAAAAATCTATGTCTGGGAAAATTTTCCATGAAATTGGGTTACACAGAAACAGATTTCTGGAAAATCCAGCGGGGAAAACCGAACAGCAGATTATTGTGGGTTTTTTTTTTTTTTTTTTTTTTTTTTTTTTTTTTTTGTTCATTTTGTTTTGTTTAGGTGAATTGTGGTGGGTAAGTTCATCTGACAAAATAATTATTTATGGAAAAAGTTTTGAAATGATTTATATTGGTCTCAGTTTTTACATCATAAAAAACCTGGTGTTTCATCAGGGGTGTATACACTTTTGCGAGCTGCCATATATAAGCCATGATGTAGAATGTATTTATGTAAATTTTTTGAGTTGTCCTTTATTTCCTATTCCGTTTTCTTGGATCCATACTTTATGTAATATCTTAAAAATCGCATCTCAGGAACGACATCCTCAGTTCTAAATACAATTGAATATCACCTCTTCTAGTCCTCCACCTCTTTTGTGAAATAATAACAACACAAAACATAGTAATTTTTGCCTTTTTTTTTTTTTTTTTTTAAGTAATCTGAGTCGAAAAAAAAAAAAAAGAAAAACACAGTCGTAAAGTGTGTTTGAACTTCTGCGTTTCCTGTCTGCAGATGCTGGGCATGCTCTGTGCCTGTGTGGTGCTGTGCAGGAGGAGTCATGATCCGGCCTACGAGCTGCTGGTTACCACCAACAGCTACGCTTGAAGGACACGGCCCAACCGCTTTCAGTAAAACAAAACAAAACAAAACAAAACAAAAAAAAAATGTCCAGGAGCTTCACCAGACATGTTCACACTAGATTCAGCCGTAGTTACTCAAGCTCAAGCACACCTTGCACAGCTCATGAAACAGTAGCGAACACTGGCGATGAGGTTTCAGTGGGCGATGGCTTCAAAAGGAAAAGTGGTTATTTATTAACATGCTCTCTGAGTTGCAGTTTTGTCTTAGTCTTTTGTATATAAGCCAAAGCTGTAAATGGCTGATAACTCAAATTCATGTTGCAGATATTTTACTTGTGTTGAAATTTCAATTTATTCAGTGATCATGATGATGAAGAGTTCTTAGAGCTCGTCTATAAAGATAATGATTGTGAGTATTGTAAGGGACGTTTGCACAATGACAGGAACCCTTGAGACACTTAGTTGTTTAGTTGCATAAGCTATTTCTCGACTTCTATAACCATACAGTAACTGTTTAAAATCACTGACTGTAAGTAATATTAAAAGCATAGTGATTTTTTTTTGTTTGTTTGTTTGTTTTTATCTGTTGTGTTGCAGCTACGTATCCTTATTTGTTCCCAGATATTTAGGTTGTAGCTAACGTATTTTCTGTTTGGGTGTAGATGTTCTCTGAATCAGGCTTCACTAGTGAGCCGTTGCCAGTATAAACTGCAGTGCCATTTGTACCATTCATCAGCAGTGTTACATAAACGCTTCAGTGTGCATTCAGCTTGTTAAATTCACAGGATGACTTCAGTTTGTTTTCCTAGTTAGAAACCTGATGCGAAGAACTTTGACATGTTATTTTATACCATGTTTGTGACGTCGTGTACTGTTATTTTTTTATTGGGCTGCTAAGTTGATCCCGTAGATATGACTAGTGCTACAAGAGAAATGTGAGACACTTAAAAAAGTTGTGTTTGACTTGAGAACACACTAGAAACAAATAAATTCAAATATTTAACCTGGACTGCTTTTATTTGCCACCTCTTTCACAATATATTATATACATAGCAAATGCATTTAAATAGGAAATGAACTATGTGTGCAGCAAAACATTGGTTTAAAAGATTTAAATGTTTAAATATCCACATTATTGTTCATATATTCACTTTCCCCACAAGTTATTTTGTATTTCTGTTTTAGACTGTCTAGACAGGCGAAGCTAATTGCTGATAGAAGTGCAACTGCTTGCACTTGTGCTAGCAAACCGATTCAGAGTATGTCTAAGCAGAACACAAAAGAAAACAATACAGCCATTGCAAATGCTCACAAACATTCACCGTCTACTCAAAAGTAATTTAAAATACCACAAGTCAAACCTCACTTCCTTGTACCAAAATATCAGATCTGCCTTTATGAGCTTTTAACACTTCCCGAACACAGTTTTAAAACCACCTAATAAAAGAAAGTAGTTTGTTTTTTCCAGCATTAGTCCAAGCACATTATTGTTGCTAAACAGAATGAAACCTCTTTAATTAGTGCAGCTAGCAGGATGGAAGTGTTATCTGAACACAGAATGCGCTGCCCAGTCAAGAAATGCATTGTGCCTCATAAGTTGTGTTGCCTAAATGGGAATTGAAACTGTTTAAATACATTTCTTCTGTGATTTCCTCAACCTTCCACTAAACATTTTTTCTAAAAATCTGCCTCTTAAAGAGCGGTCACAGTCGTAGAGCCTCTAACCATAAAGCTTAAAGATGTGTCTGAAAAAGAAGACTTAAGAACAGAGCCGGCCAGAGGAATGAGTGAAATATGCGGCTGTCCTGACACGAGGGCCCCAAGTGGTCTTGTACACGACTGCCAGACTAAATTAGTCACATAAACAACCTTTTTTTTTATTCAGGGATAAATATTTGCCTGCAGTGTCTGGGACTTGCCTCCTGTTTTTACAGCCTGTAAACAGGCTTCAGTCACATATGTAATCATATTTTTGATTAAACTTATGTCAGGGCTGCAATAAGGTCTCTAGAAGCTATCATTGATGGAAACTTGTCTGTATAGTTTGGGTTGGGGTTAGATTTTGTCCAGATAGTTTCCCGGCACCAGCCCACTGTACCCGTTCCTCTCCACTGTCCACCAGCCATCTTCTTCTTTCACCAGGACCTGAACTATGTCCCCTCTGCTCACAGACAGTTCATCTTGCTCCTACAAATCAAACAAAAAAAATAAATAGAATTGAGCAACGAGTAATACAAAACTGATTGCGGATCAGCTTTGTTTGCATCCTACGAGGATCACCTGTGCTGTGTACTCATAAAGCACAACATAGAACTGTTCGTCCTCAGGGGCAGAGGGTAATAAAGGAAGGGGCGCATATCCATTATCATTTGTTTGGCCTGAAAAAGAAGAAAGAAATTACAAATGAAAACCAGAAAACTTAACAGAAGTAATTTGCCGTTCTTTGGTTTTTATCACAGGATTTAATTTACCGGTAGATTTCCTAATGCAAACTGACCGATGAGAAATCTGTTTTAAAATGTTTGCATAAAAATAAACTGCACTTACTTTCTGCAACAGACGGCAGGGTGGGCCGTGAAGCTGTGGGGCTTTCGGTATTGCTGCTCACAGACCTTCTGAGTAAAGACTCTGAGCTCCTGTGTGATCCACATAAACACAAAGACATTTAGGAAACACACAGTGGCTTCCTCAGATTCACCAAACCGCCACCAAAAACCTGGCACTGGATTAAGGCGGTTTCAAAGGGGCCCTGCTTTGCATCTGTTAGGTGTCGTACCTTCTTGACATGTCTTCTTGAGGAAAAAAAGCTTGCCCGTTGCTGTTCCTCTTCATCCCAGCTGAGTTGCAGCTTTCAAACACTATGGGATCTGTTAGAAGAAAAGGGAAGTTGCCCATTTGAGAAGTGTCGACTGTTTTCTTAGAGTGAACTGAGAGGAAAGAAAAGGTCAGAAGTGGAGCAGCACAGTAACTCCTGCTCAGTTTGTTTTGCTACTTCTCTTTAACTCACCTGGTGGCTTCGATCCCGTCTTTTTCATCTCTATAAAACAGTTGTTGTCCGTGGTGATGTCACACAGCTCCAGAAGCATCCTCACTGCCTCGTACAGCTGAGTTAGAGCAAGCAGGAAGTCAGGAGTGAGCGATGCATCAGCATGAACCAACACGCTCTGTTGGGGTTTTTGTTTGCTAAAACCCCAACAGAGGTTGGGTTTTTTGTTTTGGCAATGGTCAGAAAGAGTGAATGTTGTAACAGCTCAGTGTATTGTTACACCAAGTGCACAGTAATGAGAATATATCTTTGGCAATTATCCAGACTTAAGGTCAGTGTGTTTTTTAATGAGTCCTCCAACCCATTAGGCCACAGCATTGGTTAAAGAGTCTCCTGCTGTTCCACTGATAAACTTATTCTAGAGACAGAAAGGTTTAAAATGCACTGCTATGTGTCCAGGATTTATCCTGCTCATAAAGCCGTTAAAACAACTGCATTCAGTACCTTTGAAATACTGACAAAAGTTCTATCTCATAGAAATGACTATTAATATTAATAAAATTGTATTTCATTTCATGATGAAAACTTGTCAAGGCCTAGAAATCAAAATTTTGGATCTGAGTGGTAACCTACATGATATTTTGAAACACTAATTGACCATACATGCAATTTTGAGTTTTTAATATTATGAGTTTTTAATATTTCCTCTGTATTTATTTATTTTTTTCACAAAAGCATCATCTTGGTGAATGTGAGATTGAATGGTGGTTTTTGTAAATAAGAATGATTAAAAGTGTGACTTTGAGCCAGCATCATTCAGACACATTGTGGGTAATGGTAAAGTTTGACAGCTCTTCAGACTGAAGCTGTGAGATCTAGGTGCAAAACAGAGCTAATATGACCTTTTAATAAACTTTCACAAATTAAATAAAGGTCTTATGGTTCACAAAATGCGATCATAGCAGTGTTTATGGGAGAGTTTGGTTGTCTTTATGTAAGGGGATGGTTGAGTTTGTGCACCATTGTAAGATTGGGCCTCTCATAAATCTGCTGTAGAGGAGAGACAGAAGTGTTCATACCCCTGAACCTTTCTACATTTAGTTAGGTGACAACCACTAACTTCTATGTTTTTTTTTAGGAGGATTCTCTGCCATTAAACCAACAGTAAATGTGTTATAAGCATGACACGGAAGGAAACTGATGCATGGTTTTCTGAAGTGCTTTTTTTACAGATCTAAATCTGAAATTCTTAGTATCTATTTGCGTTCAGCCCATTTTATTCTGATACCCTTAAATAAATTCAGGGCACAGAACCTTCTTTAAAAGTCACCTAATTAGTGAGTCGACCTGTGTTTAGGGTAATTTCCATTTAAATACAGCTATTCTGTGAAGAGTTCAGAGCTTTTAACATCTCAGAGAGCACTCCTCAATCCATCACCCGAAAATGGGAACTGCAAGACTGCAAATCTATGAAGACTTGACAGGCAGGGCAAAGAGGCCAACGCAACTTTGGAGGAGCTGTTTAGGTGGGAGAATATTAATTGCACAGTCTACAAAACCTACAAATTTGGAAGAATGGCAAGAAGGAATCCATTGCAATGAGTGTTTAATGCATTATGCATAATGGGAAATAAGGCAGACTTAATGAAAGCTGCTCTGATCTGATGAGACCAAAATCACACTAGCTGCACATGCATGCTGTGTAACAGAAAACCGACTCTTCACACTACCCTGAGCACACTTTGCCAAAAGTAAAACTTAGTAGTTGGGCCATCCTTTTTTTTGGCAGGGTCAAGAAAGCTGATTATTAATGAGAAGATGGTTGGAGCTGAATACAAAGTAAATACAAAAATGACTTAAGATTGCAGTGGAGCTTCGCCGGCTAACAGGACAATGAGTTTAAATAATGTCAAAGCTGCACTGGAATGGTTTTGATTACAGCATAGTCATGTGTTATAATGGTCCAGTCAAAGTGCAGACCTAAATCTAATGCTGAATCTGCGGTTAGACTTGATACTTGCTCTTCACTGACATTTTCCATCTATTTTGCCTGAGCTTGAGCTAATTTGGCACAAAGAATCTACAAAGTCCAAAGTTCTA